ATGATTTGTTTGTCAGTAGTCAGTGCACATACATGTACATGTACAGTATAATAATCTGTCGCTATTCCTATGTGTACTTATAAGTGCCTAAAATGCAATATTTCATATGCAGCATCTGATATGAGTCCATGCACTTTGCATATACAGTTTAATCTGTTCGTGCTGTGTTTTATTATTGTTTATTTGATTTACTGTAGAATAAGAAATTGTATGTAGCTGCTGGAGAAGGGGACATTAATAGTGTTCAGTCATTATTATCACAAGGAGCTAATGTAAATGATCAGGATAATTGGGTAGTCAATATGCACTCAATACCAACAGTAGCCTGGTTGATCATCTACTAAAAAGTATTATGTATTGATTTATGTCATACTAGGATCAATTTCATCTGTTATATTGTTTACTGGTGTGAACAAAATAACTATCTTAGACTACCATATTGAGAAAACCAAGAGTATAAGCCATCAGCAGACTGTAATCATCATTAATAATTGGATCTACTTGTTAGTCATGTCATCAAGGAACTCTACAAAGTCATGTGCATCTACAATACCTCAGTGATATTAATAATACATAATTATTTTTATTAATATTATTGAATTTTAAATAATTATTATTGGTATAATTTTTTTCTCTCTTTTATTTCCTCTCCTTTGTTTCCTTCACCTTTGGAGTATAAATTAAAATTCTCATGTTGAGAATACTTCCAGAACCAGCCTTCACTAAGTAATGATGCTGTCACATTTTTCCATGTGGGTATATAATTCCTACGAAAAGAGCATGTGACCATCCGGTCTTGCCCTATTTACAATCATAGATACTTTAATATGAAGTATCTACCGGGTATGTTCCAATCCATATAAATATCTATGGTGTGAATGAGTCTCACAATATCTATGGTCTCACTCTCCACGCAGTCCACGGCGCAGCAACATTAATTTAGTGACGATACTGACGAATTCAATGGCGCTGGCTAAAGAAACTAAAGCTAGCTTGTGGCAGCAGGTAAACATCCTTTATTTAGCCCCCTCGTGTTTACATATGCTGCTCACAACACTAGTCTAAGTGCAGAGGGGGAAGTTGGAAACGTGGCCTGCTAGCTGCAAAGACGAGCGATCCGTTGTTCCTAAGCCCCAATTATTGAGAGAGTTGGAACATAGATAAGACTACTTGAAGAAAGAGCTGGAGTTATTAGGCACCCCTCGACGCGGAACGCACCAGCTGAGGCTCCAAGTAAATGATTGCTAGTTACAAATTGCATTATGATGTACTCTGCATACAGTCATTTGGGTGGACCCAAATGACTGTAGGCTGGGGAATGGTCTGGCTGCGCGAGACTATTTCTTATGGTGCATGGCACAACAAACTCTGCCACTGCTGTAACAAAAAAGGCCCAGTTGAGCACTCTTTACTTCGACTTTGCCAGCTTTTGCAACCTAAAAAAGTGAATAGAAAGCTTATACAATGAAAGAAAACAGTCTATAATAAATGCAAAAAAACTAGTTTTGAGTCTCTAGAGTTTTTATCCTGAGAGCAGGAGCCTCTTGTTCAGATTAGTTGCTTACACAAACACTGACAAATCAACTCATATACCCTTGCCCATACGCCTATGCGTGGCAAGGGTAATAAAAGTCCTGTACTATATATACATGTTGTTGAGGGTCATGAACTAGATTTTTCCCAAAAATACATTAAATTCATATCCATTAAATGTTCCCTTTTTTCAGAGGTTGTAGAAGCAGGGAACACAGAGAATGTCACAAAGATAGCAGCTGAACTGGAGAAAGTAAATCCTTTTCTCTCTTTCTTCTCTATAAAGTGACTTCTACCATGCCTACTTGCAATTGACCAATCAGATTGCGTCCTACGAGTCGCTTATTTACCTCGCTGAGGTAAATATGGCCAACTTATTAAAGTCGCCAAACAGGTTTTCTTAGTTATTTACCTCGCGGACAGCCCGGGAGCAAACAGGTTTCAAATTATTTACCTCGAAGCATAGCTATGGCGTCTGGAATAATCATTTTTAGCAGAGAAAGCAGCAAAGAACATCGAAAAGAAAGAAATAGAGCCTCAAAAGCATTGGGCCATGTGATAAACTTCTTAATGGGTGGAGTGGAATTGGAAAGGCGTGTTCTGGGCGTGTTTTACTGTACACACATGGCGCGAGTGAAGAAGAGATTTTCCCGTTTCTTTAATGAAATTTTTAATGAAAAGAAAAACAATAGAAGTCCAAAAACACAAACACGGATAATAATAACATTAGGAGTTAATGTAATCAAACAGGCTAAGATATAAAATTTTCATAGGCTCTATCTGATGATAGAAATGCTTCTACATCAGCTTTTACTTTACCAAGTTTTTTTGGAAAATCGTCACAAACTTGAAGTACTTTCCTCCAGGTCACTTCTTTATTGGAGTCCATCCATCTCTGGAACACTAGTATTAGGTTAGTAGTAGCAGCCCCTGGAATAGGCAACAGGTCATCCATTTTAACATCAAGTGCAGTCCCAATGAGCATATAATGGGCAGCAGAGTCTTCAAATAACCTAATGAGGTCACTCTTCTGTACTTCATTGCTCCTCTCAACAGGTACTAAATTATCAAGAGAATGAGAGCCAGTGAATTGAGCATTAATTTATCTATCATCACTTACTAAACCAGCAGGACTTACGTGGTTCTATTTCCTTTGCTTTAATGCAGTCACCATTAGTGCATGTTATACTAGTTCCAGCTTTGTTACAATGGCATACACCAGCTCCACAGGTCTGGCA